CACCGCCCGCCGGGAGCGCTCTACCCGCGGGAACCGCTGCACCCCGCGCGGACCGAGCAGCACCCTCGGTGGCGTCAGGAATCGGAACCGGAGGCCGGAAACGGCGACGCTGCAGTCTTGGAAATTTGGAAACCTGAAAACTTTGAGTCCCAGACAGAGGATCTGCTTTCAGTGCCAGCGGCCAAGCCTTTGCCCCGGCGGCGCCCCTCCTCTATTTCTCTGCCGCCAATCACTTCGTTTGTCACCTCTAAGTCCCCTTCCTCGGAGAGGCCTTCCTTCATTGTCGCTATATGTTAATTAACTATTATTTTGCAGTACTGGAGTTTGAACCCAGAGCCTTCATCCTCACCAGACCTTTTTATTTTTTGAGGCAGGGTCTCACTGTGTATAAATTACCCTGGCAGGGCTTGAACTTGCAATCTTCCTGCCTCAGCCACCCAGATGCTGGGATTACAGAACTGAACCACCAAACCCGGCTCCTTGATTCCTCCCCCGGCTCCTTGATTGCTCCCTCTTTTTTTTATTTTTTTCTTTAGATGGGCATCTTGCTATGTAGTCCAGGCTGGCCTTGAACTTGCTATGTATCCCAGGGTAGTCTTGAACTCATGGGATCCTCCTGCCTCAGCCTCCTGAGTGCTGGGGTTTCAGGCGTGCATCACCATGACTCATTTAATTGCCCCTTTTAATAGCACCTTCTTAGCAAAACAGTTTCTTGTTTCCCTGCTTCATTTTGTCCACCAAAAAATTTCAGGACCTAAAATAATTTAACATATCATATTGCACTAGTATGGGCTATCGCATAACTTACACACACACACACACACATATATATACTACATTATTGATGAGAGAAAGTGTTGCCTAGGAACTGGGCTCTGGATTCAAATGTGATTTCAGCGCTTGCTGGTTGTGCTGACTTAGGTAAGTAGCTTAACCTGTCTGTACCTTGATTTTCCTAATCTCTCAAATGAGAACAAAGGCTGGGAGGACTGAACTGATTAATATAGTTCTCTCTCTGAGTT